AGGGGCAGAAGGTGAGGCCAAGATCTACAGTCAGCCTGGTGTGCTGACTTAAGGCAGGGAAGGTCCATTACAAAGAGCCAGTGATGCCTGAGACAGTCCTGCCATCCATGCAGGAATCATTAAATTTACTTTGATGGACAAACACTTGAGTCTGTTTATAAATTTGGTCTGTTATACAGAATTTCAATGTGTCTGCCATTTCCAGTCCTCTAGATTGATAACTAAATAATTAAATAACCACAAGCTCCTAAAAGTGACCACAACCAGATGATTTTAGTAGGTGGAAAAAGACTCTCCTAGCCCAAAGGGAAAGGCTGCGCTGTGATATTCTTCAATCCTGTTGTAGTTAACAGGTATTAATATTTCTGTGTTATCCCTCCATGGTAACATGTTAATAATCATGACCATACCGAGAGGCAGGGATAAAATCTGGGGCACCTCTGTAACTGCTCGCCTGACCCTATGTTGCTGAACCAAGTTTACATTTACATGTTAAAAAAGATTCAAGTGCTCTTACTATATTTATAACTTTTTATTATTCAGGATAATTTTGATAGAAGATATCTACTTCTAAGTTAATGAAAGAGTTTGTTTTAAAAATTCCAATAGCATCCACCCCATTTGGGAGAGAAGCTTATAATTAAGTTAAGCCTAAACTCTAAGAGCCTCCCAAAACTGTATTCCTATTTTTAAAACATAAAAAATTGGATTAGTGTGTTTTTATTGTTATTAAAATGTCAAAATAAAGCAAATTAGATGCTCTAAAAGTTTGAATAACACACTCAGATGCCTGAAGAACTTTAGGTAGTTTTAACTCCATTTTCTGTAGTTAGGGAGACCCAGAGATTTGACTTACCTTGTCTTATCCAAATTCTAATAATAATATTGGTGATGTTTTACACTCTACAAGAGGCTGTTTCTTGATTAGGTGAGAATATCAAGTGTTTTATAGTACAACCATCTGGAATTAGAATGTTAACTATATATTATCCATACATTGGGATTAGAATGTTAACCATATATTATCCATATATTGGGATTAGAATGTTAACTATATATTATCCATACATTGGGATTAGAATGTTAACTATATATTATCCATATATTGGGATTAGAATGTTAACCATATATTATCCATATATTGGGATTAGAATGTTAATTATATATTATCCATACATTGGAATTAGAATGTTAACTATATATTATACATACATTGGGATTAGAATGTTAACCATATATTATCCATACACTGGGATTAGGATGTTAACTATATATTATCCATACATTGGGATTAGAATGTTAACTATGTATTATCCATACATTGGGATTAGAATGTTAACTATATATTATTCATATATTGGGATTAGAATGTTAACTATATATTATCCATACATTGGGATTAGAATGTTAACTATACATTATCCATGCATTGTTTCAACTTTTAAGGAAACGGACTGCATCACAGTGGTTCTCACTCCTGTTTTATTTCCTTTACTGACTGTGAAAATAAAAATAATATGTGGTTATGCCTACAAGGCCTATAATATTCTTATTTCTAACAGATATGACCTTTTTTCCCTATCACTGCTGTTATAAATAATATTTGTACATGAAAGATCAATATTTCTCTTGGAAAGAAATAGAAAGGAGTACTCTGTCTGAGTTCTTCCCAGACTAAAGTCCAGAATAAAAATAATAAATAATAAAACAGGTCATTAGTACCCACCAATAAAACTATAATAATTTATATATTAAGATCAACCTTTCCTAAGACTTTAAGCTAGACACTTCCCATGTTGTCATAGCTACAAGACTAAGCCGGCCAGAGAAAAACTAAAATGAAAAGATAATATATTCTTTTAAATACTTAAATTTTAACATAAAAATGTTTCATGGAGTGCAGATAACAGTACATATATGGGAACATACTGTCAGTCTAGTATTTAAAATATGAATTTTGGAGAAAAATTAATTAAATTTAAAAATATGAATTCTGGTTGTTTATAATCCCCATTTCCCTCATTTGCCACCTTTACTTCACTGAGGCGGACTCCATTTTTGATTATTATAATTCTATGTACACTATTCCTATCACATGTCCCACATATGTGTTATGTCACATACAGAGAATTAAACAGGAAAGCAGTGAGACTGTGATGGCAAATCGATTGCTATGACTCAGGAATTCCTTCCTTAATATTCGTAATCGTTTCTCTCCCCTGAAGGTCCGCTTTTCTGCCCACCCAGCCTCACCTTTATTAGATCCTCAGATTAGGTTTCCTAGCAACATGGGACATGAGAGTGTTTGCCACTCGCATGAAATGCGACACTGGGCCACAGGGGAGCTCTACGCTGAGGCTCCCAGAGGAAGCTGCACCTGTGCTGCGAAATATCAATAAGCTGCTTCTCCGAGCTAAAGCTCCAGCAAACGGCCGCGGCAAGCTAGAAAGTCGCAGGCCCACAGCCGAGACTACAGCTCAGACTCCTAGCTTTAAAAAAAAAAAAAAAAGAAAAAGAAAAAAAATGCCAATCTGTTACTTTCCCGTGTATTTCAGCACTCTGTGACCGTGGAATTAGCCTGAGGGCCTTGACGAGAATCCTTTCTGCCATGCCCTCCTTACAACACCCTCCAAAATCAACATCTTAAATCCCGTGAGTCCTCTCGTTTCACGGCCCCCGTTTCAGTCATTAGCTCTTTCGTTTACAAACTCCATCCTCCTCTCAGTAAACTCAACTTAAAGTGATTTCAAAACTCATCCTGGACCTCTGGACACACCTTCTGCTATTCCTTGAATAACCATTTTACTTCTATCTATAGGTGCTCCTCTAATCAATCGACTAACTCAGTTTGTCTAGATCATCATAGAGCCTGGCACGCAGACTCATGCGGACAGCATCCCCTTAATATGGGTACAGATACTGACCTCTAACCCAGGCACCCAGAACCTCCAGCGTTCCTAGCCTCTCCCACCTGCATACTGCCCCCTCCCTCACAGCTGGTTCTCTGTGTAGCCTTCCCCCTCCATGGATGCATTTTAAAGAACCAGTCCCTCCTCCTGGCTCTTCCCCTGCTGCCCAGGAACTGGAAACAGCTGATGTCATCGACCACGCGGCATGGACGCTCCCTCCATTCTGCCTGGAGGTCCTCTCCTTAGAATCCACCTGGACCTTACACTTGGCAGGTAAATACTCTGCCATGCCTTACTTTCAATAAGGTTTTGTTTTTTGTTTTGTTTTTTGTTTTTTTGGGGTTTTTTTTTTTTTTTTTGGTTTTGACATAGTTTCTTGGTAAGTGGACCCAGGTGAGCTTTGAACTCACCTGCTTCAGCATCTCAAGTGGCTGGGACTATAGGCCCACTAAGGACAGGAATTTAAAATGGCTTAGAAAATATCAAGGCTCTATTTTAGAGTAAGAAGACGATAGGAACTCCCAGGTAAAACAACTCCAAGGCCAGAAAGCCCTAACTGTAGGCACCAACATTTTTATAAAATAACCTGACCATTAAAACGAAGCTTTAGTGAATTCAGTCTTGGACTTTTTTTATTTTCATAATATAAACTAACATTTTAAATTCAACTTCACTTTTCAAAGAGGAACCTAGAGATACAATGTCTGCCCTTAATGATCCGGATGTAGCTCGATAGGTAGAGCTTGCTCAGCACGCTCTCCAGGTGAGAGCTAAGGCAGGCAAACAAACTTGGGGCTCAGCTTGGTTTGGGCGATGCATTCCCTCCTCTTCTAATAACGCTCCTAGCGACCTAGCGCCTTTACCTGCATGTCCTACCCGAGCACCTCTCTCCAAACAATGCCCCGAGAAACCTCAGAACTCCCTTAACTCCCAGGCCCCACTGATCTGCATCTACAAGTACAGCCCTCTCCTCTCCTAACAACAGAGACACCTAGATAGTTTCTATTTTAATACAGTCCCAATATATCTGGATACAAAGACTAGAAAGGCCAATATGGCTTGTACTATTTTGGGGGCACTAAGTAGAAATTGTACTCAAGTAAACTTTGGGAGAAGCCCTGCACATAACCAAACATACACTGATTTAAGTCACATGTATCATGGGAAGGGGTGTGTCCCGTATCACTGGCAGAAGAGACAAATGGCTATCTATGAAGTATATTAGCACACCAAAGTGCATGCTGGCGTCCAGGCTCCCTGGATATCACAAGTTCCTATGGCCCAATTCAAAGTCCATGCTAGCAGCCTAGCTCTTCTGAACTGTTCTTCTCAACTCCTCCTGTATCTCCCTCCAGCTCAGGAACTTCCCTCCCGCAGCTACCTGTTCTTCTCATAACCCTTCTTTGGGATTGATCCTGTGCTGTCTTTGTCTTTCTCTCTGTCTCCCTCCCACTCCTTTCTCGGCTCCCCCATGTTCCTCCTCTATCCCTCTGCCCCTCTCTATGTTCCCTCTCTATCCCTCTGCCCTCTCTATGTTCCCTCTCTATCCCTCTGCTCCTCTCTTTCTCTCTATGTTTCCTCTCTATCTTTCTGCTCTCCCCCCTCTATGCTCCTTCTCTATCTCTCAGCCCCCTCTCTATGTTCCCTCTCTATCCCTCTCCCCTCTCTGTTTCCTCTCTATCCCTCTGCTCTCCCCCTCCCTATGCTCCTTCTTTATCTCTCTGCCCCCTCTCTATGTTTCCTCTCTACCTCTCTGCTTCTGCTTCTCTCCTGAGCAGGTCCAAGTCCGCTGGCCATATTCAATGTGCTACTTTCTCTGTTCTGGAATGTTTGGCATGCCTCCGGTTGTTCTCTCTCATGCCGACAACAAAAATGTCCCCTTAAACACACTATGGAATGGTCATATTGTTAGTTGATGCGATCTCTGCTTTTTCAAAAGCTTGTGAAATTTAAAGGCACTAAATTTCATAATACTTGTTACTTCTAATTTAAAAGGAAAAAAGATTCTATGGTGGTGAAGACTGTTATTACCATTATTTATTAATTTTGTCAGCTGGACTCAAGTGAGGATCATTTACGCAGGGAGCTTCATTTGACAAAATGATCCCATCAGATCAGCCTGTAGACAAGTCTGTGTGGCAATTTCTTGATTAGTTATTAGGGAGAGTTCAGTCGGTCGTGGGCAGTACCACCCATGGGCTGGTGACCCTGGGCTGTCTAGATAAACAGGCTGAGCACACAGTACTCCTCCACAGTTTTCTGCTGCATCAGGCCTGGTTGAGACGTCCTCAGATGAATGCATGTTCAGTGTGACTGGTGGTCTAATCGTGAAGCTCTCTGAGCCTGCAAGGACAGAGGCAGAGAGTCAGCTGCCGGTAAACCAGGACGGCAGAGTTGGCAATGTAGGCTGAGCCCCGGGGCTGACCAGGCCCGCTTTGTCTGTGATTCCCAGCCTGAGATCTGCAGTGGTAACAGGCAGCCACCCACCCTCCAAAAGGCTTTCAATCGGGTTATAATGTGTTTGTGTTCCTTTCCTCTCAAACAGGCCAGCTATCCTTTCTTACCACCTGTGAGACTGTCTTACCTTTGAAATTAATTATGGAGCGACCTTATGGATGAACCACAGGGAGGGTGTCCACTGATGGTGAAGCAGATGGAATCCCTGTTTTCATACAGTCTACTTTCAACAGTGGAGTACTAAAATGCAGCATCGGCAATATCACTTTCACCTGCCACATCGTTAGACGTTCTCAGACCCTGACTGAGCTAAAGAAACCGTTTTCATTTTCTAAGCTCAGCCAATTCCCTGTCAATAGGGCTCCTGTATACAGTAAAGATGGGGAAGTTCTGCCCAAGAGGACAGGTAAATAAATCCACAATACAGCATCAAGTAGAAATTCCAAAATCAAGGCAAAGGGAATGAAAGAGACAGAGAGGAAGGGGTAATCATAGTGAGCAGGGTACTGGTGTGGGATTCCTCTCTGTATGCTATGAATATGTTTTATTACCATTGGTTAATAAAGAAGCTGCTTTGGCCTATGGACAGGGAAGAATAGAGCTAGGCAGGAAAACCAAACTGAATTCTGGGAGAAAGAAGGTGGAGTCAAAGAGGTGCCATGTCGTTGCCAAAGGAGAAAGATGCTGGAACCTTACTGGTAGGCCACAGCCTCATGGTGATACACAGATTGAAAGAAATTAAAACAAATGGGTTAGCCAGGTGGTGGTGGCGCATGCCTTTAATCCCAGCACTTGGGAGGCAGAGGCAGGTGGATCGCTGTGAGTTCGAGGCCAGCCTGGTCTACAAGAGCTAGTTCTAGGACAGGTTCCAAAGTCACAGAGAAACCCTGTCTTGAAAAACCATAAAGAAAGAAAGAGAGAGAGAGGGAGGGAGGAAGGGAGGGAGGGAGGAAGGGAAGAAGGAAGGAAGGAAGGAAGGAAGGAAAGAAGAAAGAAAGAAAGAAAGAAAGAAAGAAAGAAAGAAAGAAAGAAAGAAAGAAAGAAAGAAAGAAAGGGGTTAACTTAAGATATAAGAGCTAGCTAGAAAGACACCTAAGCCACTGGCCAAACAGTGTTGTAATTAATATAGTTTCTGTCTGGGCAGCTGGGAAATGAACATGCAGTCTCTGCATGAGTGATTTCAGAGGAGACCTGGGCCTACTAAGCAGGTTAGAGACACATCCATAAGCTAATTCAGTGGGGTAAGGTGGTAGTGAAAGGACTCCATAAAGGGAAGGGAGACTAAGAGAATGGTGAAGTGATGTGGGGAAGGCCTGGACAGGGACGGGAGTCTTGATCTGCTTTCGGTTAGGAAATGGCGTGATCTTGGGAGAGACCCGGAGCTACACACTTTTGAGCAGTGCTGGGACTGTGATGATCATGGTGACTTCCAAAGTTGGATGGGATCTTTTCGCATTGCCTATAACCCTTCAGAGTGGGGTTGTCCTAGCCTTCTCTACAGTGTCTCCACTTCGGTCTTCCAACATGCATGTGTTTTCCTCTCTCAATTTCTTACTGTTCATCCCAAACATTGACTGTAAAGACAGGGACTGGAAATTGTTGTTTCATGCTTTCAACAGCTAAGGCTCAGATTAAATATGTGCCACCCCCATTTCATCCTAAAAGTTGCCTAGGAAGTGAGCACAACTTTTAACCCGACATTTAAAAAATTAAGAAGACCTCCAAAGAACTAACTGGGGACACATCGAAGTGCCCTTTGGGTACATTTTAAAAAATGGCCACATACAGCCTGTTCTCTGGTTTAACTTGACTGTGTTCCCATGGTAAGCTTCCTTAGTGGCAGAATCCAAACTCAAATGCAGCTACCTGACTCTAGGGCCTAAATTCAAGAGCAAATGAATCCCAGAAGAAGGTCTCCACCGGGGAACCATGACTGCACATCTCATTAAACATTCATAACATGAGACAAGGGGCAGCAGAGAGAAGTCCATGTGAGCTGCAGCCACGAGTCTTCTCAAAGACCTCACCTTTGATGAAACCTTGTATTTGGCCTTGGGAAGGACTAATATTCTGACCCTTGTTGCCGCAGAGATGAACCAAGGAGATGCGCTTGGTGATGTAGGTCAAATGGAAGACAAATGGTGTAAGAGTCCTCATGTCAGAGGAAGTCAGAATAGCAAGTTCACAGACAGAAACTGGACTGATGGTCACCAAAGGCTGGGGAAGGAGTGAGGAGGAATGTAATGTTTAACGGGGACAGCGTTTCTGGCGAAAGGAAAACGTCCTGATGGTCTTTAGCGGCAAAGGTGAGCCAACAATGTGGATGAGCTTAGTGTTGCTGCACTGCGTACTTGCAGGGGGTCCAAGTGGGGGGCTGAGAAGTGGCCCTGTGCTGAAGGGCAGCTGACGTTCTTCCAGAGGACCAAGTTCAGTTCCCAGCACCCACATCAGACAGTTCCCAGCTGCCTGTAACTCCAGGCGGTCCAGATCCTCTCCTGGCCTCTGACCCCACTCACATAAGCCTCACACACACACTTTCTTCTTAACATGTCAGGTTTTGTGCTGTGTGAGTACTGCCCCAATGAAAGGGGTGGGGGAGACATTTGCTGAATTTAGATTTGTTCAACTACAAGCTTTGCCAGTTATGTCCATCCTTAGAGCTTTTCGTTCAGATCTGTGCGGTAGCACAAGAGTACACATGGCCACGGAACGGTGGCGTGTGTTACACACAATTAGTAATAATGAAGATTCAGCAGGGAAAGCCTCAGTTCATGGCACAAGTATACACACACACACACACGCACGCACGCACGCACACACGTAACAACAATTAATGAAAAGAAAGGTCATGGCCTACAAACGAAAAACTAGTTTCTACTCAGTGGAATCTCGCTGGGTAGGAACCACACTCAAGGGTAGGCCCCATGCCTGACAGTAGATGGCCAACACAAAATGAACTCAGTGGTGTTTCATAGATATTCTTGAATTTGAATTGTATTAATTTGTTTGGGTGTTTTTATCTTACTAGTCTTTTATTATGGCTTCCAGTTTTGTGTTTTTATGCTTGTGCGTATCTGTTTCTTGTGCTTTTTCATTGTTGTTGCTTTTTAATTTGCCTGTTTGTTTTCATCTAACAAGAGACAGAAAAAGAAGGTGTGTGGTTGGATGGGTGAGGAGGTTGGGAGCAGATGGGAGAAGGGGAACCATGATCAGAATATATTATAAGATTTTCGATTAAAAATTGGTTTTTTTTAAAAAAAAAAAAGAAAAAGCCATGAATTTGAAAGAGAGTAAGAGAGGTGTATTTGGGAGGAGTTGAAGGAGGAAAGGGAAGGCAGAAATGATACATTATAGTCCCCAAAAATAAAAGTAGTAATTAAAAAATAGTTGTATGCATTACACACAATTAGTAATAAGTAATAACGATGAGAATTCAACACCTAAAGCCTATTAGTTCAGGTCTATGTGTTATGGCACAAAGTGCACATATAAGCACGTACAAGTATACACATGTACACACATACACACAAAGCGTACACATATATACAGGCACAAAGTATGTACAAACAGCAAAACAGTTGCACATCTTGCTTGCAGTTAGTAACAACTATGAGGATAGTCATTACTTGTGTGTAGCTGGGACAAACAGCGACTTCAAGAAGGAGGACTTATTCTGGCTCACAGTATAAGGGGACAGTCCATCATGGTGAGTAAATCACGGTAGAGGACCTTGAGACGACTGGTCATGTTGCATCTGCAGTCAGGAATCAGAAAGAGATGCATTCTCACGCTCAGCTAGCTTTCAGGATCTCACCTGGTGGAAGGGTGCCACCCACATGCAGGAGGAGACCGCTCACTTCAGTTTACCTAACCTAGAAACCATGGCAAAGCCATGCCAGGATTTGTTTCCATGGTGATTTTAAATCCCACCAAGTTGACAACTAAGACTACCAATCAACACTCCCACTCTTGTTAACTTGATACTAAAACACCACTTTTTACTTCCACCCCTGGTCCCCATAGGCCCGAGGCTACTTCATAACACAAAATGCATTCCATTCAACTTCAGAAGTCTCCAGGGTTTTCATCAGTTTCAACACCATTCAAACATGTAATTCATTATCTCTTCTGAGATCCAGGTCAGCCGTGAATCTTAACATGAGCCCCTAGGGGCAGAAGAAAACAAACAAGTTACAGAAGCGGGGCCAGTGACTCAGCAAATAAAATGCTCGCTGTGCAAGAGTGACAAGTAGAGGTTGAACCCGCAGCACCCAGGTAGACACCAGGCGGGTGTGGAAGACCTCCGCAACCCCAGCGCGCAGTAGGCAGAGATGGAGGGTCTCTGGAACCAGCTGGTTAGAACAGCCAGATGAGTGAGCTCTGGGTTCAAATGCAAGATTCCACCTTAATATATAAAATGGAGAATAATCTCAGAAGACACCTGATGTCAACCTCTGGCTGTCATACGCACATAACACACATGTGAAAGCACTCTCTCTCACACACACACCCACATAGTGCATACATGCACACACACACAGCCATGTTCACACACACCCTGATAAATACTAACACACATGCACACATACACATACACACAGCCATGTTCACACACACCCTGATAAATACTCACACACACACACACACACACACAAGCACGCACACGCTACACGTGAAAAAAGAAAAATTATAAAGCTCCATCTAACATCTAAGAGCACTGAGTAAACATTTATGTCCCCAAAGGGAGGAACAAGGACACATCAAAGACAGGCTGGATCAAATCAAACCCAAAACCTGGCAGAGTCACCATCAAGCCCGATGTTCAGCGTCTAAGCACCATGCAAGAATAATGTGGGCTCTAAAGGGCCTAAGTCGCCCCTTTTCTG